TACCATTTCATGCCTTTTTGCACTTTTGTTTTTGAGTCAAAACTGATAAACAGAATGATCCTATAAAATAATCCAGTTCTGTTTTTTTTTTTTTTTTTTTTTTTTTTTTTTTTAAACCCTCCATGCAACAATTTTTTTTTTTTTTTTTTTTTTTTGACAACCCATCAGTCACCAATTGTTCGTATTTTCCACCTCCACCTTACAGCTGATAGCAGAACATAGACATTCATTGGCATAATCTTCTAATCAAAATGCCAGTGTGTTCAAAGGATTTAAAAAACCCTGTTTTGCTTGTTGTATAATGTAGTCCCCAACAATAATTAATCAGGTTTAAAATGTGGTGAAGTCAAGGGCTAATGTGATGGGCATTTTTGAAAATACCTATTTTTACCCAGCAATCCTCTGTCCTGTTGCCTTTGCTTTCACTCTGACACCGGCCAGAGCGAACCTGACCCTGACACCAGCTCCTGCCCAGCACGAACCAGTCCTGAACACTGAACTCTCTTCCTGTCCATATGTGTTCCTCTTATTTGCCACGTAGACATAGTCAAGAAATCTAAGATCCGTACACTTCAGAGCGGCTCTCTGCATTCAGTTTAAGCTTGGGTGTAGTTGATCACAATCGTTTAGGCCCAGATATAGGATGTTGCTCTTGAATCTGGTCCAGAGGTAGAGAGAATCTAGAAGAAAGCCCAAAGACGCTGACCAGTTAGTGCACACACATCCCTTTAATAAGGAGACTGAAGACTGAACCTCTGTTTTTAGTCACCACTGAATCTGCCAATGACAGATGGACATGTGAAAGGGCCATGGTGATTTTTTATTTTTTTTTATACTTTAAGTTTAGATTTGTTCACTGGGGATTATGGTCAAAAAAAGTTTTCAAAAGCAACACTCACCTTTATAAGCTACTCTATTTGTACTCGGAATGTTAGAGTCGGCCAATCAAAATGTGTTTGAATGCTTTCGTTTCATGTCTGTGTTAGTTGACTTTATTATTATTTTTTTTCTCTGCTCATGGTGGGATTATTTTTTTTTTTTATGGACAGAAATTATGCCATCTAGACCTATGTGCTCCATACCAGACTAAACAAACACTCTCCTTTTCTATATTTAGAATAGTAGAACCACAACAACTGGACTTTTTAAATCCTAGCAGTTTCAACCTCTGGCAAAAATGATGGAATAACCACACTTGGAGGATATTCACACAGATTTATTCTATTCATTTATTTATTTTTACTTTATGGCAAATACATGAATCACAAAACTCTTTTTGTTTAATAGCTGAACATTCTGGTTTCGTGAAACATGAACTCAAACAAATTAATGACGAATTGAATTCTTTGAGGCACGCACTTTACTAATGAAACATAATATTCTCCATTAACCTGGTTCCAACTTTCACGAACAAATAGCAAAACAAATTTTCCACCATGCTTTTCAAGTCAGATTGCGATCTGGAATGTTTCCAGTCATTTGCTTTAGAAATGTACTTGATGTGGGAAACAATTTGCTGTTAATTAAAATTATTTCATTTGTTTGTTTCACAAAGCCGGAATATTATATTATTAAACAATAACATTAAAAATAGTTTAATTACTGTGTGTGTGTGTATATATAATATTATATATATACAGTGGGTACGGAAAGTATTCAGACCCCCTTAAATTTTTCACTCTTTGTTATATTGCAGCCATTTGCTAAAATCATTTAAGTTAATTTTTTTCCTCATTAATGTACACACAGCACCCCATATTGACAGAAAAACACAGAATTGTTGACATTTTTGCAGATGTATTAAAAAAGAAAAACTGAAATATCACATGGTCCTAAATATTCAGACCCTTTGCTCAGTATTTAGTAGAAGCACCATTGTAGGCTAGATTTTAGAATTCTAGAATCCTATCACATTTAGATTCTAGCTGATTTAGAATGTAATAACCCTAGAATTTTACAATTATAATTCTAGAATCCCATCACTTTTATAACTCTAGATTCCCATCAAAATGGCTAGTATTGGATTCTAGAATTCCAGCAGCTCAGCTAGATATAGAATAGTAGAGTTGCTTGAATGGTGTCTAGATGCTCTTGTCTTTCAAGCACAGACTTTAAAAACTCACAACTTCAGAAACATATTGCAGAGCCTGAGATGAGATGTTTCTCTCAGACCATCTGCGAAGATTAACCAAGACTACAAAGAGAGTGAGAGCACAATGTCGCTGCATTCAGAACTGTATTGGATTTAAGAGCCCTTTCTCTGTTACCTGTCCGTCTGTTCTTTTCACTGGCCGTTTTCAACGCTTTCATTAGACAGTTTGCTGCTCCCGCCATTGCTGCTGCTGCTGCTATGCTGCTTCTCTTCTTCTGCACTTTTTGTTTGGCCTGTCTGTCCATCCTTGCACCATCCTGGTAAATGTTACCACAATTTGTTTCTGTCTCAAAGGAAGAGCTTTCAGACGTTTTCTACTGTTTAAGGAGTTTGCATGTTACTCGAGCTGAATCTGTGCCTATCGATCGTGTTGTTTTTTTTGAGCGACGTAGGAACCCACTTGCACTCTAAAAGTTCCCACCTTAGCTGTGCCTCACTTCCAATGGTGCTTTCTTCTGTGTAATGTTTTTTTTTTATCATTTATTTGTAAGGTGCTGTAAATAAAGTTAGTCTGTATGCACATATCCTACCCAATGGGTAGAAACCACAAAAAAAGACATTGTTAATAATGTAACAATTTATAGCTGATATAAAGATTTTAACATGGTGGCAACGGATTTGTAAATGCCTACTGTTCAAATGTGCTTTTTTTTCCTTTCTTTTACTGTATTTTATTATTATTATTATTATTTTGGCAAACAAGGAAATTCAATAACAGAAGGATGCTTAATTATGAAAATACTGAATTTACAGAGTTTTGAATCTGAACACTGCCCCAACAACAAAAGGCACAAATATACACACAAAGGAATTTATTCAACTAGTTTTTAATCAGAAAATTATGAAAACCTGTTTCCACCACAAGATGAAAAATATTTCTCACAATTCAGATTTTTTTTTCTAGCAATTCTGATCTTATATCTCACAGTCATGAGAAATTATGTGGGAAAAAAGTCCGAATTGTTAGAAAAGCAGCACTATGTAACTTTTTCTGTGTTCAAAATGTGCAAAATGAGCGAGTGCATCATGATCACACAAAGGAATTTATTCAACTAGTTTTTTAATCAGAAAATTATGAAAACCTGTTTCCACCACAAGATGAAAAATATTTCTCACAATTCAGATTTTTTTTTCTAGCAATTCTGATCTTATATCTCACAGTCATGAGAAATTATGTGGGAAAAAAGTCAGAATTGTTAGAAAAGCAGCACTATGTAACTTTTTCTGTGTTCAAAATGTGTATAATGAGCGAGTGCATCATGAATTCATCTTCCAAACCGCGTTTTGTCTTATTCCGAATCACTACGGTACACTTATAATAAGTACTTATATTTGGACTATTGTAGCCTGGTCGGGTCGTCACCGCTGCGGAGTAACACATACCTGCGTGAATCGCCATAGACATAAACTTAGAGAAGTAGCTCCGGTTGGAATGTTCTTCCGCGGGATGTGTGTTCTGTTTATTAACCGCTAGAGCGCCAAAAGTTACATAGTGCTGCTTTAATGCACAATTGCCAGAAAAGAAGTCAGATTTATGATTTTTTTTTTTCTGCCAAGGAATAAAAAGTTTTATTTATTTATTATTATTCCTTGATGGAAGAGAAATATGTAAGCTAAGAATTCTGAGATTTAAAAAAAAACTGCAATGGTGTAAATTTAGAATTATGTGAAAAATTTGAATTCTGAGTTTGTATTCTGCAATTCTGACTTTTTTTTTTTAAATCAGAACTGTGAGGGGGGAGGGGGTGAACCTGAATTACAGAATTGTTAGACGTAAACTCAGAATTCAGCAAAAGGATGGAATTGCAAGATATAACGCAGAAATGTGAGGGAAAAAGTCAGAATTCTGAGTTTATACCTCGCAATTCCAAAAACAAAAGTGTCACAATTACTTTTTTCCCCCCAGTGGTGGAAACAGGCTTATGTAGAAAACCATTTTAATTTGAACTAGTTATAAATAAGAATCCAATGTATGGAAACATGGAATATGTAGTTACCAGTGCCAGACTTCCACTCACGGACAAAAAACGCTGCGGGATCGTGATATGGCAGTCTTGCTTAAAACAACAGTGTTCATTTTAATCCCAACATGTACATGACTTTTCATGCCACCCTGTGTTGTGCTTCCTGTCTTTGCAAGTTTAATAATGAACCAAATGAGAGATGTAGTTTTAACATTCTTATTTTTGTTATATACTGTATTTCAGACATTCTTGTGTATGTGGTGTATAGGAGCAAAAAAAGATTTAAAATTGCAGATATTTATGTGCTGGTGCTCCACTGTACAGTAGCTTGTATTCGCATGTCTATAGTTATATACCTGCAGATAATGTACATAGCGATGCCATTTTGACTACAAGCACCTGACTAACAGCAGTGACCTTTTGAGCAATGTACCGAGATGCTTTTCTTTCTTGCACAAGCACAGAGAACTAACAAAACCGAAAAGGTTTAGACTTGTTTAATTCAGATGCTTATCGAGTGTCTGAAACAAGACACTCAGCATTAGAAAGCAACACAATATCAGGCCTTTTACACTCTACATTTTCCCCGGCTCATGTTACTCCATATGTTCATGTGTGAGGACATTTTATATACATGTGCATATTTTCTATTTAAATCAATTTGGTGTAATAGGTTTTAAGCATAAGGTCTGTTACGGTAATGCTTTTTTTATTTTCAGAAAAAGTAATCCAAACATGTTGCTCTAATCACTGTTATAGTCAAACTTTTATGCTTGTACTTCTGCTGTTGTCCAACTGCAGTTAACTAATAAACTAAAAGTACCAGTTGCTGATGTGTCTAATACTTTAATTTTTGCTTTAGGTAAAATAATATCCTGAATGCGTTTTCATATCAACAATTTTATTATTCTCTCATTGAGCATTGGCATATTAAGGTGATTTGTGTTTAGACTAAAAAACTAGCAGCTTCAGTACAGTAATGCATTTGGAGTGGGCAATCAATTACCCACTGAGTTTTTAAGCAGTCCACACAGTGCAATTCAAGACATTGTACAGTCTGGATGACTGTAGGCAATATGCACAAGAACTCAAATAGCAAACGCATATATGGAAAAAAATGGAAAAGAACTAAATATCAAATAGATACTGATATTTAATTATTACTTGATAACCAAGTAGAAATACTTTTGAATACTTAAAACTGTTGAAGTAAAATACATTCACACAAACACAATTAACATGATTTTGGCTTAATATAATTCTAGTATTATTGCTAGTTCAAGTTTGCTTCTTTCCAAAACACTCAACCTGCAGATTTAAGTGCATGGAAACCATTTCGACATGATGATGGATCTTGTGTGAGCATTGCTTAAAGGGATAGTTCACCCAAAAATTTACTCACCCTCAAGTCATTTTAAACCTGTATGAACACAGAAGACTTTTTTGTCAATACAGTAAGAGTCAATGGGGTCCAAAGTTGATTTGGACTCGACTGACTTGCATTATATGGACAAAAAACATTTTTCAAAAGATCATCTTTTGTTTTCAGCAGGAGAAGGTTAATCATTTTCAGCTGAACTATCCCTTTAAGTCAACACCAAATACCCTGTGACAGCAATTATTGATTGTGTGAAACATTCCACATTCTCTTCCCATTGCCATGCAGCCTAGTCGGCTTTCTTACGAAAAGTAATTTTGTCTTTCGTCTCCTGCAGTTTCTCAGAAAACTTGTCTTTGGTCTCCTCCATTCGTTCTGAGAGCAGTTCTTTGGTTTCCTCCATCTTCTCTGAAAACCTCTCTTTTGTCTCCTCCATTTTTTCAGTCAGTCGTTCCCTGGTCTCCTCCATTTTGTCTTGAAGGTACTCTTTAACAGGCGGAGGGGTGGAGAGATATCCATGTTTGCGGAGGTACTGTACAGACAGGGACGTGCCACCCAGTGTAAGAGTGTACCGTGCAGGAGTAGCGAGCTGTGATAGACAAAGTGATATAATAACGCACACAATGATTAATCATGTACATTTTAAATCCATGTCAAATAATCTTAGGTTTTGTTTATATACCTTATACATTGCATAGGCTGTGAGTGCATAACCACCCTGGGAATCCCGCAAAATTCCCACCATCCAATCCGGTAAACCGATGAACTCCAAAAACGGGACCAGATTCACCCCACTGTGGAGAACGCAGAACATTAACATGTCACTCATGTACCTTTACAAGAGAGAGACGATTTGCTTTTTTTAACCTTCAAGTGCTGTTTGTATAGCAGTAGTTGACCGTACAGAGGATACTGCTAAAGCTTGTCTGACCTGCTGAAGCTCAGACGGACTTTATCTGGTAAAACTCAACCTCCCTGCCAGCCTCACTTAATGCCAGTACACTTAGTCTGTATGGTTTGATCTTTGAAGCACCTCGATTCGTGTAGTTTACTGAATTAAAAACTTTTAAAGCCACACGTATGTATGTGCCACAAGACAACAAAGCTACATGTATAATGAGTACATTATACATCATATTCATAAAGCTACATTAATTTTATAATGCACAATATATTGTTACTATATCGCTTATCAGATTTTTTAAATTTTTCTTAATTGTGATTAACTCATTTCAACATTTACATTAAGTGAATGTTAGATGACAACAGCTGTAAAGTTCATCTTTAAAAGCACTAATAATTTAATAAATTAAATGTAATCTTTAGCAAATGAATATTCACTTTTCATACTGTACATTTTTATATTGTGATGCCTATATTCAGCTGCAACTTTTAAAATAACTGATTTTAGTTTTTAGTGTTTTATTTTTTATTTAATGGAGAAAATAGTATAATTTTAATATCGGCCATTTATCGACAGAATTTATCAGCAGAATTATCCCTAATTAACTGTCCATTTAATTAAGAAATGTGGCTTTCTAAGGTCCATGCTTACAAAAGGCCATCTTTGTAAAACATCAATAAAATACAAAATTAAATGAAGAGTTCAGATGCAAAAGCCTCTAAGTACGTCTGACATTTTCTTTAAAAATGTGCATTTCTTTCTGGCTACTATGTATGGGTTTCTATGTAAATACTGGTACTTCTGAATGGGTTGAGGCTGGGATTTAGCGCATTTGAAGTGAAAGTACTTGATGAACATATACGATATAGAGAGAGCATTCACTCAGTATCGTTATCTCATTTTTGACCAAGATGGCTTTTAGAGGCTTTTGCATTGGATCTCTTCAAATATATAAATAATCCTAAATTCTTAAAACGTCAATGTCAAAATAAAACACTGACAGGACTGAAAAAAATAATAAATCAGAACAAGAACTGACAAGCTGGACAAGTCAAAACAAAGACAGAACATTTTAAAATAGAACTTTGCACTTGTCATTGTTTTTATTGTCAAAGGGTGCGTTACTGAGCAGAATGCTGATGTTCACTTACTTCATTGCAGCATAATAAAAGCTCCCAAACCACACAGTGGACGTGACGATGTGCACAGGCACCATGACTTTACCATACTGTTTAAACGTCTTTTTAAATCTCTGAAAGAGCCCGATAGACTTGTCCTGCAGAGGGTCGACGTCACCCTTATTCTGAGGGGCAGACCCCGTATCAGCCTTATAAAGACCCTCAGTCCCAGCTAGACTCTGCGGAGGGTTTAATGGCGTTTCTTCCTCCGTGGACGTTTTGTGGCCCTCCTTCGTCCTGATGACATTAGTGCAACTGAAGCAGCGTGAGATCTGGACGGTCACAGGAAGCTCACGCTTATCCCAGGTGTGACCCAGGTACGCGGAGCGCAGCAGGACCATGCGCCGCACCGTGACTGGAGCCCACAACCGCTGCATCACCTCCTCCACCTACAGAGCGCCACCTACAGGACCTGGACAACACAAAGAAGTTGGTGTCAAACAAAAGTTACACCCAGATTATTAACATCTTGCTGATTAGTCTGAAAAAATACAAAAGTATGACTTTAAAAATTTTAATTTTACTTAAAATTAAACAATTTTACACACGTATATAGATAATAGATATATATAGATAGATATATAGATAGACAGATATAGATATAGATATAGAGAGATAGATAGATATAGAGAGATAGATATAGAGAGATAGATAGAGAGAGATAGAGAGATAGATATATATAGATAGATAGATAGAGATATATAGAGATATAGATAGATATAGATATATTTACATTTACATTTAGTCATTTAGCAGACGCTTTTATCCAAAGCGACTTACAATTGGGGGATACATAAAGCGATTCTTCTTAAAGAGGCAAACAGACACAAGAAGTGGTTGTAATACCAAGTTCTTAGACATTGTTCAAATAAGTAAAAGCTAGAAAGAGAAGGAATAAATAAAGATAGATAGATAGATATAGATATATAGATAGATATAGATATATAGATAGATATAGATATATAGATAGAGATATATATATAGATAGAGATATAGATCGATAGATAGATATATAGATCGATAGATAGATATATAGATAGATCGATAGATCGATAGATAGATATACAGTGGGTACGGAAAGTATTCAGACCCCCTTAAATTTTTCACTCTGTTATATTGCAGCCATTTGCTAAAATCATTTAAGTTAATTTTTTTTCCTCATTAATGTACACACAGCACGATAGGGCTGGGTGATATGTCAAAAATATTGTATCGATAATCGCCTTTAAAAATATCGCGATATCCGATAATATCATCTACATAAGCCCCACCTCCACCACACCCCGCCCCCGCCAAGACAACATTGCCGACATGCACCATAAACACACACCATGTTCAGTTTGGTCTTAATTATTGCCACAAAGTTTGGTTTTACTTTTCTTGGGCTACTTTTCTTAAACTAACAGAAAACATGAGCTTTGCTGTTATTTTGGTGTTGCTAATAATTTCCAGTCTGTTCTTATCAAATTTGTGTTTGAAATGAATTTCGTTTTGTGAGGAGAACTGTTGAGGAAAAATAATAGAACCCAATTTTAAGTTCATCATGGTGAAGTTGGACATTTTGGCAGTGATTGCAAGAATGAAAAATGCATGTTGATGTCATATAGTAATGTCTTGAATAAAATATGCCTATTTTCCGATGTTTCTCTTTCTTTTTGGCATTATCGCCTGTGTAGACATTTCATGATGGTAAGTTTAATTTCCTTAATTATAACAATTGCAGCGTTGTTTTTAAACTTGTAGTCAAGCTATAATGTATTTGATATTTATCATGTATGACTAAAATCAAGCAGGGATTAAAAACTAATTCTGAGCAAAAACGTTAAGGTTTTATTTTTTTTTCTGGTTGCCTACTAGTTCGGAGGTCTCTTTTGGCCCGTTTGTAACTAAATAAAATAATAACTGCTTTATTTATTTAGAAGCAGGGTCATTTAAATTTCATTTTTGTATTTGTATATGTATATTTGTATTAATCAAAACACAACGCCCACAAAATAATATTCAGTGTTGGGCTGCTGAATCTCCGAACGCGTGCATGTTGAGGGGCGAGCTGAGATATAGTACTATAATGTCTTCAGCCGTTTGCAACAAAATTTTATAGTTTTGTTGCAAATGAATTAAGAATTATTTATAGACCTTGTCAGATTTATAGAAAAAAAAATCTGCTTTAGGTTATTGCTATGTAACTGAAAACATGTTATTATAAGTTTTAAAGTTAACTATATATGATTATTGTTAGTTAGACATTAGTAATGATTCAAAAGTCACAGGTTGAGCATGATAAACGCATGCCATCAGTCAGGTTAGATGAGGGTCATGGCTCTCTGTCACCACCAGACTGATCAGGCTAAAGACAAAGTACTGGGATTCCAGAGATTAATTAGGTTCGTTTTAACCAGTCAGCTAAATTTGACTATTTATCTGTTTTTAATTTTTGTAGTTTTGAAAATATTCCCTTAAAATGTAAAAGGCTTTCAGTACAATTTTGACATGTTTCTCAACTTCTAAGAAAAAGAAAAAAAAAAACATTTTAGCTAAAGTCAATTAATTAAAGAAGGTGGTTCCTCTGTTTTTCTGTTTATCCAGCCTAGACTAAACTCTTCAACTGATAGTGTACTTCTATGCACTCTTCACTTTGTTGTATCTCAATGACTGACGTTTTGTACTAAAAATGGGAATTCAGTGAATCAGAGCCTATCTTAGGCCGGGTCTTCCTCTGATCACTCTGATTTTAGAGCTGACAAGCCCTCTCCATTCAAAAACCTTTTATTTTCTCTCTGTGAATGTTCTCTGTGCACATGATGGCCTCTGCACAGATCAGGACAGGTCAGTTGAAGCCTTCTTTATGATTTTATTATTTCATAATTGTTTGTTTGATTTCCTATAGGCTCAGAGGAGCAATCAGTAATCTTTTGTGGATATTGGTAAAGCCTGCAACATGACATACTGTACTGTACTGGTCCTTTATGACCAATGCTGCCTTCTCCCTCCAATCATCTAGGTCTCTTCCTAAACAATTAGGCTACCTTCATCAAGTTGGACTTTTACATGAATCAACAACTGGCTTTTATCTTCCTTTGATTTTAAATGGGTGGTTCACTGTTTTTTTTCTAGGCTTGATTGTGTTTATGGGGTGCAGTCTAACAAGTGTTAATGCTTCGTTTTTTTTTTTAAAAACGCATTATTTTTCACCTAATTTATCTTTATTCCACACCGCTCTGTCCCTTCTCTGAGAAACGGGCTGATCTTTTCCTGTTTTTATGAAGCCCCGCCCTCAGAAATAGGCGATGGACTCTGATTGGTTAGCAAGCCCAGTGTGTTGTGATTGGCTAAACTGCCTCTAGTGCGTGTCTAAACGTCCCGCCCCTCACCTCAGCGGCATGTGCTCCGGTTGTATTGTAAACAGAGGCATGGTTAATATCGCTTATCAGTTTGAGCCCGACTGAGAAGCAGAGGATATTATTGAAGAGGTTCGTGCAAAAACCTGTGCAAGCAGCTTTTAATGGTAGGCCTATGTTTTTTGTTTGTTGTTGTCTCATACTTTTAGATACGCTGTTATTTGTAAATGATACTGCTTATGTTAGCTTTAAATATGCGGTTTTATCCTGATTAAAGCTTTAATACAGTATAGCAACAGCACGCGCGTCCATGTTTAACGCTTCTATGTGAAAATAAGTGTATAATTGGAACAGTTCATTGTTGGACGTGAGCTGAAGGAGAGAGAGAGAGAGCTGCAGAGTGTGCGTAGAGCAGGGGGACGCCAGGAACAGTATTAAGAACCGCTGATTTAGAACATTGATTTTGAAACTTGTGAATCCATTAGAATCCAGTTAATATGAAAGAAAGTGGTCACCTGAGTCAAATCACAAAACTAAATTCAAAGAAAATTAAGAGGATTAGACAAACAGTGGAAACAAAACAAAAAAAAAGATAATGGCAATTTCATAAAATGTCATCATTCATTTAGTTTGACTTGAAAATATCAGGGCAAATGTCCATATGCAGTGCTGTTCAAATGTTGGGCAGCATTAGTGTTCTGGTCATTTCTCTTTTAGCCTGTGGGCCTCAAATCACATCTCATGATCGATATCTCATGACCAATGACCATTAGTGTGAAATGAGACATGAAGAGACTCCTTGTGACTATTTATAGGCAGATTAAAACATTCTTATGTGGATGAATAGGGTCACTAAGCAACAGCTCCGGGTGATCACTTTGAAGGGGTCACCATGTTAAATATGTCATATGAATGAATCCCATGCCATAATCTAAGTGTTAAATGTGAGATGAGGAAGTACTTGTGCTGAATAAATAAACACTGCTCATCGGTATATAGGGGAGATCGGGGACAGTTGTAATAGGGGGCAATTGTAACATACTCAATTCCTCCATTCAGAAACAAGCTAGAGTGATGACACTAATCTGCACATGCTCACTGCTCAGTAGGATTCTCTCTCTGCCTGTGAAAAAGGAGCACAATCATTTCACCTCAGCAGAAGTTTTTAACAAAATACTGATTTTGAGGTATGAAAGTTACTTTTGGATGTACAATATTTTTCTCCTGCTGTCTAAAGTCTAGATGGCTGCGAATTTAAACTTTCGTACATTTTATCCCTAGGTTATTGATAAAAAATTTACATGAACAACCTATGCTAATATAGGCGTGGCTAGCTTGCATACAAGATTTTATCATGGCTGCAACATTGGGGGCATTGTAACATTGTGTTACTATTGCCCCCGAGCCACATGGCCCAGTGTAAGCACCTTGTTTGTCTGTGTTAATATACTTTTCTGTTAGAAAATGAACATATTTAAATGTAAAACTACATTTAAAAATTAGTAGTGTTACACCTTAAACAATGTGTTGCTTTTAAATCTTTTTTAAAAATGAAATGAATAGTATATCCACATGATTTCATTGAGTTATTCTGTTAATACTTCTATCTTGTACATTTCATTACATTTTGTTTAAAGACTGTTCTTGACTCATCAGCTGATTAATGTATTTGAGTAAAATATATTTAAAATATATTTACATTTTATATATACACACACACAGTAGTCAACATTTGAAGTGGATCAAAACCTTTCATCAAAGTTGATATCTTTACCAAATATCTATATCAAATCTATATACCACTAGAATAGTTGTCTTCTGCAAAAATAGAAACAGACTTTTGCTATTTGAATGCACATGATAACTGACATCTAAAATAATTTGTATCATATACAAAAAAAATAAAAATACTACAGCAGTAAAGTGATTACTTTGAGTTTAGATTTTATTTGAGATACAGTAGGTTAATATGACTTATTTTTTAGTCTTACAATTGCCCCCCAACACTCTGACTTCTTGCATTTAATTCAAAGTATTAAGTATTATAATTAATATGATGTTGCTAAAAAGAACATTATTTTGTGTATTTGGTGTAATGAAATG